ATTATTTAGCAGTATAAAAAAAATAATCGCAAGATGTATGCTATAGGCATTTATTTTTTATTTATTTATTTTATATTTACTTTTAATGTACTGTGGTTCAATATACCATTAAAAATAGGAGTGGTAAGGTGATATTCTGTATAGGAGGTTTTCACCATTATTTGTGTAACAGTAAAGGAGTTACGTATAATCAGGAGGTTTCCACCAATATTCACGCATATTGAGAACTTGAAGTAACACTACACTTTTTTGGATTATTTAAATACAACAATATGCTTATAATGATATATTTATAGACCTAATAGAACAAATAAAATAAGTGCATTGCTAACGTTTACATACACTTTAAATAAAATGCTTGCAGGTGTTATTTTTTTATTGTAGAAAAGAGTTTGTAAGTACCTTCTGAGAAAAAAAAAACACTATTTATCTTCCGGCTTACTAAAGATGAGATTAAGGTTTTGTCCAAACATCAAATATTATTATTCATGATGACGGCTTCCCACTGTCAGTGGTTGTTAAGGATGCCAGAGGGTGCAACACCAGCCCCATTCACACAGGGTGTTGGTGACATCACTGAACAGAATGCTTGTAAGTTCAGCCACAGCAAATATCTTTATACTGAAACATCTAGAAATCCACAGAAGGAAAACAAATCAGGGATATTCCTAGCTTTCCATTTTTAAATGGTAGTATCTCATTCTGAAATGTGGTATGAAAGGTGGTTAGGTCTGTATTTCCCTGTTACAGTCAAGTGGAAATGAAATTTAAATTCTGTAAAGGAGGAATCTGAAGGAAAAAAGGTAGGAAACAGGCTAAAGAACTTTTTCCTGTAGTTTTAGCAAAGTTACTTATGTTTTCAGTTTTGGCACAAAATTCAGATATGGACAGAAATACATTTCTACTTTGCTCTTAAGTTGAAAATGTAAATAAAATTGAGTGGCATGAACAAAATAGTATTGAAAAATGTATTGATTTATTAAAATATAGATTTTCCTGAGCTGCAATCATTTTTAAAACGAAATAAGAGACATTTTAATGTGTTGCTAATACTAACTGATCAGATACCAGTGGGCATTTATAAATAGATTTTATAAAGTACATGCTTTGTTCCTAGAAGAAAATATTTAATATCCTTTTGTAAGTACCCTATATTTTCATGCATTAAATACAAAACACACTGCTCTCCTTTTTCTTTATAAGTGTGTCCCTCATTTTGGGTAAACATTGGAAAATGTAATCACCCTCTCAATTTTAAAGGATTTAGAGATCCAAGTGGGCAAAGTATACTTTTGACCTCCACTCCAATTCTGTCCTGTGATAAATTGACACACCTATCTTTTCCTAATGTCAAGTAGTGGTAATACCAAAACCCATTCCAGATTCTCCATATTTTCTGTTAACAACTGTGTGTATGTGAACAGGGAAGGGGGGTGGGGGTGTTCTTAACTGTGGGATACCTAACTTTCTATCTTACCATTGCTGCCCAAAACTTACCCTTTAAAGCCCAACTCTGGGAAACTTAAAAATGATCCCTTGCTCCCGCACTGTAAGCGTTAATTGCTTGTGTAGGTCTATGGGACATAGAAAAGAAAATTTACTTACCTAATCCATGGCTCCTTAGCACTGCTAGACTGACCCTGCAGCATGTTTTTCCCATGCTACAGTGGACTAAGGTTTTAATGTCATCAAGATCAATAAAATAACAACAAAAGGATGTAAAGGCCTAATGCACTGCCCAATGAAAGTTTATTAAAGAAAAAATAAATGCCAAAACATATTAACAAACAGCCAAATGGCTAAAGGTGTTGAATAAAACAAAACCCAAGTGACAAGTTGGTCAAGGTATGAAAATGTTTCATAGGGACCTGGGCATCACTCAAGCATACATGCAGACATGTTTCAAGGAAAAAACCCTCTTCACCAGAGCATAGTTTTTCTGTAGGTCACATACGTGATAACCAAGGTGTGATGTGACCAACATATGTACTATGCCCTGATGAAGAGTGTGGGCCCCTTGAAACACGTCAGTATGTATGTGTGAATGATGCATAGCTTGATATGACCAACAGACATACTATTCTATGATGAAGAGGATTCTCCCCTTGAAATACGTCAGTTGTACACCTGAGTAATGCCTAGGGTGAGGTGGCCAACAGACAAACGATGCTCTGATAAGGAGGGTTCACCCCTCTAAATGCATCAGCATGTACATCTGAGTGATGCCAAGGTCTTTCTAAAACATTTCCACACCTTGACCAAATTGCCACTTGGGTTTTGTTTTATTAAACGGTTAGTCATTTGGCTGTTTGTGGGTATATTTTGTCATTTTTTGCTTTAATAAACTTTCATTAGGTAATACACTAGGCCTTTGAGCCATTATTTTACGGTTTAGCAGAAAGATTTCCTCAATCAGAAGAGGCAGCATTGGTGAATTGTTACCTGTTACTTAAGTGAATGAATATGGTGATACCCTTACATCAAGGAATATTTCTGTCCCTGAAATACCTTAGTGCTAAGTGTCAGCATTTTGGATCTGCGATTTTCCTTCAAGCTCATCAAAGCCATAGCTCTGCATGGAGGCACAGTTCAATGCCAGTGTGTGATGAACCACCCTCTGCCCAGGGAACAGAGAATTGGGTAAGAAAGAGGACAAAAATTCTCTGCTACACTCAGGGCTGTGGATAAGCGGGTACCATCAGCCCTCCCATATGAGGCCCAGGCCAGCAGGGGGGCCCAGGCAGCTGGGTGAATCGGATGTGGGCAGAAAGGGTGGTCGACATGGTGTGGGCAATTACTGGTTGGCTTCTTCTCCTCTCCCTTCTACTGGCTTTCAGCTGCTACAGAGAGCCATAAAGGGGATTGGTTCTAGTAATTGCCCCATCCCCATTGCACCAATCCCCCTTCCTTTGCACCATACATTTCCCCCGGTTGCCCAGGCCCTCCTGTATGCCACCGCAGTGCCGTGCAGAGGGTTCCCTCCTCTCCTTCCCATCAGCAGTTGCAAGGACACAATAGGGACCTTCAGGATGGAGAGCGGGGGAAGGGTCTGGTCCAGCCCCTTTGTTTCCTGAAAGAACTCAATGAGTAATCTGCACCAATCAATCACTGTGTTCATTCATAACTGAAGTAAAGTAAACTGTGGTTTTTTTTGGGGGGTGCTTGTCAGGTTGGCTGTATGGGGCCCCGTGGTTTCTAACAGCAGCCCTGACTACACTAAATGAGCAGTCAACCCTGGCAGTGCTGGTGTAGCCCCATTGCAAGGGATAATATTTCCCAGAGTTGGGCTTTAACCTAAAACTGCCATCACCTACATGGCAGGATTCTAAAAAAACAACATTTGCACAGCTAGTAAAGGAGAGGGAACAAAGGATTTCATTCCATCTGCTCCACATAGTTTTACTACAGCCCATTGCTTCGAAACCTGATGTTTCATATTACTTTACACTACTTTTTAAGCAACATGTTTACCAAAACCACAGATTTCTGGAAAAGTAGATGTTAACACAGACCAGTGCGACTGTACTCCAAACAATGCATTTTTATTCAAATTATTCTAACCTTTGACTTGTAGCCTTTATATACTCTGTGCACGTTTGCGTTGCTATTTAAACTATTTTTCTTTTCCACAACCAGTCCATGCTTGTAACACTGTTTTTTACATCATAGTATTACAGTTAATGTATATTTGCATAAGCCAACTACTAATGACTTTTTAAGTGAAGCCATGAGTCTACACTTCAAATAATCCAGTGGGCTCCGGCCAAGATGTCATACTGCACCAGCTGAGAAATATATACAACTTGTGTGCGTGGTACAGTACTACAGTATGAATGCTCATATTACTCTTACTAACTTTCTACTCTTCATCATGGTATGATCTGTATTTTGTAGTAGTTACATCTGAACTGATCACTCCAGATATAAACAGATTTGCAATCAAGGAAGCCAGTAACAAACAACAGCATAGTCAAAAGTTAACACACATTCTATGTCTAGAGCTTAAAATATTTATCGAGATCAGATGCTTCTGGGTTTGACCAATAGATGGTGATATAGTCCTCTCTTAGCTTTTCCCTGTTGAGTAATAAAGATTGTAGAATGTAGACTGTTTAGTGGTTTCCAAACAAGAATGAGATGTACGAGGGTTTTTTTTTTTTGTTTTTTTTTTTGTTTGTTTTTTGTGAATGAGAGTTTTTTATGAGTTTAAATTCAACTGAAATGTAGCCATAAGTAAAGATTTCCTTTTGCACATTGTCATTGGACTTTACACTGTCTTAATAAAAATTAATAGAAACATTTGACAATTCTAGTTGTAATAAAAATTGAGATGAAATAAAAATCATGTGTAGTATCTATTACTGGCAGAGACAAAAGACAAAAATTATAGCAGCTCTGTAATCATTAACACATTATTAAGTTTTTTTTTTTAAATGCAAGGAGTGTAAATTTTTTATTTTGATCTGGCATCTGCCTTTTGCAGTCCTGTAGAGCAGTGTTGGAGGTCAAGAGGAAGAAGCAGTACAAGGAGCCAATCAGTTTATGTGATGCTGATAGGAGAAAGTAGAGATATGAAATGACTGTGTGCTGCCTCTCCTTTCACTGTCCAGTCACAGTCAGAGGAAGTTGCTTGGTTAAGGTAGCTGGAGTTTCACTTTAAGATATTAAAATATAAGTGGACAAAACTTTGCTTCTATAGAACATTTTCATTGAATTAAAGCTATTGTAAACCTTACATTTTAAATTTTAAAAATAACAAATATGCTCCATTTACCTGCTCTGCAGGGCTGGACTGACAACTCATGGGGCCCCCGGGCAATAGGGGATCATGGGGCCCCTGTGTCTTTGCCCACACCCAAAAAAGCCTATGAAAAAGCCAATGAAAGGTACCAGGGGCATCTCATGGGGTGCCTTACTGACCCCAGCCCTCGGGCAGTGCCCGAGTGCTCGAATGGTCAGTCCGCCCCTGCTGCTCTGTGCAGTAGTTTTGCACAGAGCAGCTCTGATCCTTTTCTTCTTGGGTCCGCTGTTGGTACTCCTGGATTCTTCCCCCTGCCGATGGAGACACTTGTGTAGGCTTGCACTGTGTTCTGTATGTCCATTGAAACACACATTGTGGCTTGCCCCCAATCCCCCCCCCCCCACCCCATCTCACTCCTGCTGTGATTGACTACTGTCAATCACAGCAGGGGCTGATTTACTAAAGGCACTTAAACTCTGCTCTTTGCAAAGTGCAATTGCACTCTGCAAGTGCAGTTACTCCAGAGTTTAGTATATGAGGTAAATCTTCCCTTTGCTAAGAATACCCAATCGCATGCAAGGAAAATAAAAAACAGTATTTTTGCTTGTATATGTTTGGATGATGGAAGTCAGTAGAGCTTCTGCTCATTTACTAAGCTCTGGAACAACTGCATTTGCAGAGTGCACTTTGCAAAGTGCACAGTCAAATTGCCTATACTGAATCAACCCCAATGTGTTTACGAAATGAGAAACTATGGACACTAAGGTATGTAAACACTTCCACTACAAAAAAAGGTTTCTGTGCTGGCACAACTGTGTGCAGAATATGCCAATCTAGATAGCATGCTGGATACAAAGGTCCTTCCCCAAATCCAGGTAGGGGATAAAGTATGCAGGACCATCCCTAACTTTTCCCTTCTCCTCACCAACCTTTCCTTGGACGTAGCCTACATTTTCTAAACAGCAGGGGAGGGATTTACTAAAACCAGTGCACTCAAAATTTGGCGCAGCCACACATGATAGCCAATCAGTTTCTAAGTTCAGCTTTGTTCAGTTAGCTATAACAATAAAACCTGGAAGCTGATTGGTTTCTATGCAGAGCTGCACCAGATTTTGCACTCTCCAGTTTTAGTAAATAACCCTCATGTGTCTGCCTTGTCTATGCACTTCCCTCACTTCCTTCCCTCAGCAAGACCCAGCAGGGGCTATATAAAGCCCCTCTCTATCTATGATGGTCACAAAACCAGACACAGGCTCTCCCCATGATGGCCACCTGGAGCCCAGTGGAGACAAAAATGTCAGTCCTTTACTAGGTTCCCATAGCACCAGAGGTATTCAGCAAATACTTGTGATTGCTTGCTGTTTACTTTTGGGAGCTAGCCTGGAAGTGAGTGAGCAAATGGTGGATTGCAGCCTTATTAACTGCCCTGTCACCTACTTAAGCATTAATCATGCTTGTTGGGTACATCAGAGAGTGCAAAACACCATCCTACAGGTTTAGGCAGGGCAGAGCAGGATTCGCCCAGACTAAACATCCATGCTGGAGTAGCAGAAGGTGCTGATGATGGTACAGGTCATGTCACATAGGGCTCTGTACAAAGATCAGCTATCTGTCTGTTTCTTATCCATGAAAAGCAGGGGAAAAACAGCCCGATCTGTAAGTAAAAGTGCCAAATGTTACACACATTACATGTGTTAGGCACACAGTTAACCCTTTGATTGTCCCTTGATATTAACCCCTTCCAAGCAAGTGTCATTAGTGCAGTGGCAGTGTACAGTATTATATCTGATCACTATATTAGTGTCACTATTGATGTCAGTGTCAGTTAGTCAGTTAGTGTACCACTCAGCAAGGGTCGGTTAGCCCCACACTATCACAGTCCCACTATAAGTCGTTGATCACCGGCATTAACAGTATAGTGTCATAGCTGAGTAAATTCCAGCATATTTACCATCATTTGTTGATGCTATAAATTTAACACAAAGCAATTAATATACACTTACTTATTGGGAAGTTTTTTACCAAATACAAATTGTGGCCTAAATTTATTGAGAAATTAGATTTTATTTTATTGGCTATGTTTTATAACAGAAAGTAGAAAATAATGGGTTTTTTTTTTCAACTTTTTTCATTTATATAATAAACATTAAAAACCCAATGGTGATCAAAAAAGCTCTATATGTGCGAAAAAAATGATATAAATTTCATTAGGGTACAGTGGTGCATGACTGAGCACTTGCCTGTTAAAACAGTGCCGAACAGCAAAAAATGCCCTGGTAAAACCTTCCAGAGGTCAGGTAGATAAATGTGTTGTTTTTGAGATTTATTTAGTTCATCCCTACTGCAGATTTTCCCTCACCTCCTTATTGGTGAAATCATTGTTACCCAAACATAAACTGAGGAAAAAATGTCTCAAACAGAAACCAAAGTAGTAAAAACCAAACAGGGGTTTAAATCCTTCCCCTCTTTGCCCAAAAAAAAAAAGTTTGGCTTTACATAAAGTTTAAGTCCCAAAAGAAAAACATGGAGCGGCCTTCATTTTTATAAATGCCAGATTGTCTCTAACAAAGAATAGAAAGAGATGAAAACAGATGCAGAATAATCTGACAGAGTCTTCTGTCTGGAACAAAAAAATGACATCTGTGTCACACAATCTCTGTTAATCCTAAAGCACAATGAAGATCTGAAAACTTGTAATGTTTTAAACATGTTAAAAAAACTGTATGTTGTTTTCTTCTTTGGCTCAATATCATTCCTGTTGAAGGAAAAAGTATTCATATATTAGGGAGAAAAAAAAACTCTGTTTGTTCAGCATAGTCTTTCATTTTAAATGATTACAAATGTTCAAATATGTCATAACTTTGCTCTGCGAGTAAATTACGGCCACTTTAGGGCACATCTCAGTCTATACCACAATCAGACTTCTGCAACAAAATAGAAAACATTTGTTGAAATAACGTGCTGGAAGAGGTAAGGAAATGATGTCATATTTGTGAAGTTTGCATGTCTGATAAAATCCAATTATTGCTTTATATTTCACTGCAAAACTTTCAGGACAACTACAATATGTTGGCTTGACTCACCACAATTGCAAAACAATAAGCATGTAATCACTGCAGCGGGTAGAACAGCAGGGGGCTCACTCTTCTTGATTCATGCACACAAGCCACCATCCAGCTTTTACAGCTTATTTCTAGGTTTTGGATTCCCTCAAGAGTTTGCCATTAAACTAAAGAGTTCTATGAATTCTCTGCATAGTTTTGTATCTTAAGACAGACAAACCATTTATAGCTACTGTATGCTGAAATTATATATTCTTTTATATTATTAATTTTATTTTTTTAAAGGGAATTTATGATAATATTGTGTCAATTTAGTTTTGGAAGTGTAAGGCTCCATGTACACGAGCATACCCTGATTGCGGAAAAGCGCAAATCACGGCAAAACGTGGTAACCACGGTACTGCGATTTTGCTGTGGTTTTGCCGCATTTTGCGGTTACCCCGTGGTTGGCGGTCAAAACGATCCTATCCTGAACCTGATCCTTTTCCCTGTTCAGGAGAGGGAGGTTTAACCTCATTTAAACGCAGCAGCTCCTAAACTCTGCTAAAAGCTTATGTGTACACGAACACATAGGCTTTTATGGAGCTGAGTTTAGGAGCTTTGGCAAAAAAATGCCAAAAGCTCCTAAACTCGAGTTTAGGAGCTGCTAGTGTACAAGAAGCCTAAGGGGTGTATTTATAAAGTATCAAATGTGATATTTAGCAAACATTCAAAGATGGTTAATCATCCCATCTAATTGAATATAAATGCTCCAGGAAGATTCCTCTGCAGTGGATAAATAAATATATACCGTGTGGGGGGGGGTGTATATATATATATATATATATATATATATATATGTGTGTATACAGTTGCAAGAAAAAAGTATGTGAACCCCTTGGGATTACGTGGAGAACACAGTCTGCTGAACATAATACTACACAAACATTAGATGTTGCCACGGTTTAATTGCACATAACATGTAAACATTCACAGTGCAGGGAGGAAAACGTATGTGAACCTTTGGACTTAATAACTGGTTGACCCTCCTTTGGCAGCAATAACCTCAACCAAATGTTTCTTGTAGTTGCAGATCAGACCTGCACAACGATCTGGAGTAATTTTGGACCACTCCTCTTCACAAAACTGTTTCAGTGTAGCAATATTCTTGGGATGTCTGGTGTGAATCGCTCTCTTAAGGTCATGTCACAGCATTTCAATCGGGCTGAGGTCAGGACTCTGATGGGTCATTGTCCTGTTGCATCACCCATCCTCTGCGGAGCTTCAGTTGGTGGACCGATGGTCATACGTTTTCCTGCAAAATGTCTTGATAAAATCTGGAATTCATTTTCCCATCAATGACAACAATCCGTCCAGGCCCAGAGGCAGCAAAGCAGCCCCAAACCATGATGCTCCCTCCGCCATGTTTTACAGTGGGGATGAGGTTTTGATGTTGGTGTGCTGTGCCTTTTTTTCTCCACACATAGTGTTGTGTGTTCTTCCCAAACAACTCAATCTTGGTTTCATCTGTCCACAGTATATTTTGCCAGTAGTGCTGTGGAACATCCAGGTGCTCTTTTGCAAACTTCAAACGTGCTGCAATATTCTTTTTGGACAGCAATGGCTTCCTCCGTGGTGTCCTCCCATGTACTCCATTCTTGTTTAATGTTTCCTTATTGTAGATGTGTCAACAAAAATGTTAGCATGTGCCAGAGATTTCTGTAGGTCTTTAGCTGACACTCTGGGATTCTTCTTTACCTCATGCAGCATTCTGCGCTGTGCTCTTGCAGTCATTTTTTACAGGACGACCACGCCTAGGGAGAGTAGCAACAGTGCTAAACTTTCTCCATTTGTAGACAGTCTGTCTTACCGTGGACACATGAACATCAAGGCTTTTGGAGATACTTTTTGTAACCCTTCCAGCTTCATGCAAGTCAACAATTCTTGATCGTAGGTCTTCTGAGAGCTCTTTTCTGCAAGGCATGGTTCACATCAGACAGTGCTTCTTGAAACCAGTAAACCCAAAACAGGTGTGTGTTTTTTTAAGGGCAGGACAGCTGTCAGCAACACATCCAATATCATCACACTGATTGGAGTCAAGGTTGGCTCACTCCTGGCTCCAATTAGCTCTGGAAGAAGTCATTAAGCTAGGGCCTCACATACTTTTTCCTCCCTGCACTGTGAATGTTTTACATTTTATGTTGCAATTAAACCATGGCAACATCTAATGTTTGTGTAGTATTATGTTCAGCAGACTGTGTTCTTTCTATTGTTGTGACTTAGATGACGGTCAGAGCACATTTTAT